TTTGCACTAGCTGCACTTTCCAAGCTGTCTTCAAAGGCAGCCCCACATCGAGGGCATTACAGTAGTCCATTCTGGATGTAACTAAGACGTGGATCACCGTGGCCAAGTCAGGCTTCCCAAGGTACGGTCGCAGCTGGCGCACAAACTTTAACTGTGCATAGAAGGCCCTCCCGGCCACCATTGACACCTGAACCTCAAGCGTCAGCACTGAGTCCAGGAGGACCCCCAGACTGCAGACTATTTATCTATTGTGTATTTATCAATCTATTATATTTATTTATCTGTCTATTTGTCTATTTACCCATCTATCCCTCTTTCCCAAATGGACCAGTGTACGTCTGTGTATGGGGAGTGTGTGCTGCCCTGCCCCAATCCCTTCCCATTGAGCCTCTTGTGGGGGCCGTTGCCCCTGACTGTTCAAAAAACTTGTCCCACTATCTGTCTATCATCTATCTATCCATCCATCCCTGACGATAAGGAGCCTGAGGATTTTACTTCGCGAGTTATGGTGCCCGGGGACTGTGGCAACTATTTTGGGGTGGCGCGCGCGGCAGGCCCCCGTGAGTCATCCCGCCCCGAAGTGGGCGCGCTGGTCGGCGAGAGGAGCTAATGTGTTGAACATTAGAAGTCTTCGATGGGAGGAAGAGTGAATGGAGAGATGGAGGGAGAGAAGGATGAGTGAGCAGGTAGGGATATGATAGTGAGTTGAGATAGGGGGGGATTAGTAAAGGGAAGGGAGTGGTGTGGGAGGGATAGGGCGGTAATCGTAGAGAGAGGGAAGATGAAGGAAGACGATTTGGGGTGTAGGGGGAAGGTCATAGGAGAAAGGATAGGAGGGAGGGGGGGGGCAGGGGGGAGGAGGTTATGGGGAGAGAGGGGGAGCGATGAGAGGGAGGTAGGAAGAGAGAGAGGGGGGGAGGAGAGGAGAGGAGATAGGGAAAGAAGGGAGGAGAAGAGAGGGGGTAGGGAGAGAGGGGGGAGAGAAAGGGAGAGGGGGAGGAAGAGAGGGGAAGAGAGAGGGGGAGGAGGGTTGCCTACTCTGGAACATGCAACGTGATTGTCCTTCTTTAGGGGTCCCTTTCAAATTCCTGTCTGTGCATGTGTGAATCATATCTATCTATATCTGTGGCTGGATGGCTCTTTGTCAGGAGGGCTTTGATTACATTTTCTTGCCCTGGTGAAGGGAGTTGGACTGGGTAGCCTTCAGTATTTTCTGTTGGTCATGGGGGTTCTGTGTGAGAAGTTTGCCCAAATTCTGTCATTGGTGGGGTTCAGAATGCTCATTGATTGTAAGTGAACTATAAATCCCAGCAACTACAACTCCCAAATGTCAAGGTCTATTTTCCCTAAACTCCACCAATGTTCATATTTGGGCATATGGAGTATTTGTGCCGAGTATGGTCCAGATCCAACATTGTATGAGTCCACAGTGGTCTCTGGATGTAGTTGAACTACAACTCCCAAACTCATGGTCAATGCCCACCAAACCCTTCCAGTATTTTCTGTTGGTCATGGGAGTTCTGTGTGCCAAGTTTGGTTCAATTCCATTGTTCGTGGATTTCAGAATGCTCTTTGATTGTAGGTGAACTATAAATCCCAGCCACTACAACTCCCAAATGACAAAATCAATGTTTTTGAATGATGGTCACTCATTGGGTTGTTAGGTGTATTCTGTCCAAATTTGGTGTCAATTGGTCCAGTGGTTTTTGAGTTCTGTTAATCCCACAAACGAACATTACATTTTTATTTATATAGATGTTTCTTTCTTTCTTTCTTTCCCTCTATCCCTCTATGTATCCATCCATCTATCCACAGTCTTGAGCAATTACAGACCAATCTCCAACCTCACTTTCTTGGGCAAGGTGCTGGAGCAGGTGGTCACCTCTCAGCTCCAGGGTTTCCTGGATGACATCAACTATTTGGATCAGTCACAGTCTAGCTTCAGGCCTGGTCATGGTACTGAGACAGCTTTGGTCACCTTGGTGGATGTCCTCCGTAGGGAGCTCAACAGGGGGAGTGTGACCCTGTTGGTTCTCTTGGACATTTCAGCGGCTTTCGATACCATCGATCATGGTATCCTTCTGGGATGACTCTCCGGGATGGGCCTTGGAGGCACAGCTTTGTCGTGGCTCCAGTCCTTCCTGGAGGGTCGTTCCCAAATGGTGAAGCTGGGAGACACCTGCTCGGACCCCTGGCCTTTGACCTGTGGGGTCCCGCAAGGCTCTATTTCTGTCTCCCATGCTTTTTAACATCTACATGAAACCGCTGGGAGAGGTCATCCGGAGTTTTGGAGTGCGGTGCCATCTCTATGCAGATGACACGCAACTCTACTACTCTTTTCCACCTAACTCCAAGGAAGCCCCTTGGGTGCTGGACGAGTGCCTGGCCACTGTGGCTGTCTGGATGAGGAGGAACAAGCTGAAGATCTTTGATATTGCTGTTTTTAAATTGTGTTCGATTTTAGCCTGTTCTTGTAAGCTGCTCCGAGCCCCAGGGGAGTGGCGGCATATAAGTTTGAATAATAAATAAATAAATAAATAAATAAAGATCAGTCCCGACAAGACAGAGGTCCTCCTGGTCGATCGTAAACCGGATCGGGGTATAGGGTGGCAACTTGTGTTGGACGGGGTTACAGTCCCCCTGAAGTCACAGGTCTGCAGTCTGGGTGTCCTCCTGGACTCATCACTTATGCTTAGAATCAAAGAGTTGGAAGAGACCTCATGGGCCATCCAGTCCAACCCCCTACCAAGAAGCAGGAATATTGCATTCAAATCACCCTGACAGATGGCCATCCAGCCTCTGTTTAAAAGCTTCCAAAGAAGGAGCCTCCACCACACTCCGGGGCAGAGAGTTCCACTGCTGAACGGCTCTCCCAATCAGGAAGTTCTTCCTCATGGCTTGAAGCTCAGGTGTTGGCGGTGGCCGGGAGGGCCTTCGCACAATTAAGACTTGTGTGCCAACTGCAACCGTACCTCTGGCCAGGGTGGTCCATGCCTTAGTCACCTCCAGGTTGGATTACTGTAACGCACTCTACCTGGGGCTGCCCTTGAAAACGGCCCGGAAATTTCAATTGGTACAACGGGCGGCAGCCAGGTTACTAACTACAAGGAGCAGTCAACCCTCTTGTTTAAGGAGCTCCACTGGTTGCCGTTCATTTTCCGGTCCCAATTCAAGTTGCAGGTTCTTACCTACAAAGCCAGTTTGGGACCCGCCTACCTGCGCGACCGCATTTCTGTGTACGAACCCACACGATCTCTTCGATCATCTGGAGAGGCCCTGTTCACGCTCCCACCTCCTTCACAGGCGCGATTGGTGGGGACGAGGGAGAGGGCCTTCTCGGTGGTGGTCCCTCGACTCTGGAATTCACTCCCTAAGGACATCAGACATGCCCCAATGCTGGCAGTCTTTAGGAGGAGCCTAAAAATGTGGTTGTTCTAGTGTGCCTTCCCAGAATAAGGAAAACTCTCAGCAATATGTCCTCAAAATGCACGTTACCACTGACTAGCTGTCAACTGCCACGCGTTGCTTTGGCCCAGTCTGTTGATCTGGAAAATAAAGTAATGAGAAAGTGTTGGTTTCTAATATATGTAATTTCTTTATGCTTGTGGGTAAACAGTATTTCTTGTTGTTTCTTTGTCAGTGTTGATGTGGAGAGTGTCTGGTTTGCCCACCTTGGAACATGCAACATATCATTGTCCTTCTTTAAGGGTCCCTTTCAAATCTATGATACTATATTTATGTATGTGTGTGAATCATATCTATCTGTCTATATCTATGGCTGGATAGGTCTTTGTCAGGAGGACTTTGATTACGTTTTCTTGCCCTGATGAAGGGAGTTGGACTGGATGGCCTTAAGTATTTTCTGTTGGTCATGGGGGTTCTGTGTGGGAAGTTTGCCCATTTCTGTCGTTTGTGGGTTTCAGAATGCTCTTTAATTGTAGTGAACTATAAATCCCAGTAACTACAAATCCCAAATGTCAAGGTCTATTTCCTCCAAACTCCATCTGTGTTCATATTTAGGCATATGGAATTTTTGTGTCAAGTTTGGTCCAGATCCATCATTGTTTGAGTCCACAGTGCTCTCTGGATGTAGGTGAACTACAACTCCCAAACTCAAGGTCAATGGCCACCAAACCCTTCCCCCCCCCGAAATTCTCATGTTGGTTCGCGAAAAGGCCTTACTGGTGCATTATTTAAACTGTTATGTTTATTCATATCATGATCTGATCACCATACTCAATATATCCCATATGCATGGGGGTATTGGGGTAATGATACAAAAGGTTTGCTAGGCTAGACCCTCTTTCACTCAGACTCAGCCCCCCCCCTGAAACTCAGCCCCCCCCCGAAACCCCCCCTGAAAAAAATTCAGCCCCCCCCCCCAAACCCGAAAGAAATCCTGGCTACGGGCCTGATGCCCACCAAACCCTTCCAGTTTTTTCTGTTGGTCATGGGAGCCCTGTGTGCTATGTTTGGCCCAATTCCATCATTGGTGGAGTTCAGAATGCTCTTTGATTGTAGGTGAACTATAAATCCCAGAACTACAACTCCCAAATGTCAAGGTCTATTTCCCTTAAACTCCATCTGTGTTCATATTTGGGCATATGGAATATTTGTGCCAGGTTTGGTCCAGATCCATCATTGTTTGAGTCCACAGTGCTCTCTGGATGTGGGTGAACTACAACTCCCAAACTCAAAAATCATTTTTTTTGAGTGGAGGACATAAATTGGACTGTTAGGTGTCTTGTGTCCAAATTTGGTGTCAATTCCCCCAGTGGGTTTTGAGTTCTGATGGTAGCACGAACTAACATTACATTTTATTTATATAGATTATTATTATTATTATTATTATTATTATTATTATTATCCCTCCATCTATCCCTATATATATCCATCTGCCCGTCCATCCCTGTATTTATCTTTCTGTCTGTGTGTCTATGTTTACCTATCTCTCTCTCTTTCTTTCTTCCCTAAATGGGTCACCTGTGCTGTGCGTGTATGTGCCTGGCCGTGGGCCTTCCTGGGCCTTGTGGATTGGGGTCCTGTTGGCCATAATGCCTCCCCCTGGGGGTCCCTTGTCCTGCTAATGGCCTCCTGTTTGCCCCATTAGCCCCCCACAGAGAGAGGCCTTCGCACCCTGTTAGCAGGGCCATCCAGGACTGCTTTGGGGGAGCCTTATAAGCCCAAGGCAAGGGAGGAAGGAAGGAGACCCCACTTCAAGGAAGACCCTCTCTCTGCCTCTCTCTCTGTCTTGCCATGGCCAGGCCTGCTCCTTGCTGCCTCTTCCTCTTCCTCTTGCAGACTGCCTTGGGGTCCGAAGCCCCCCAGTTCATGCTGGACCTCTACCGAGCCGTGGCCGGGGATGACGGGGTCACCAAGGGGCACGGCCTCCCCCAAGGAAACACCGTCCGCAGCTTCCTGGACAAGAGTGAGCCCCTTCCCACCATTATTATTATTATTATTATTATTATTATTATTATTATTATTATTATTATTTTGTAAGGGCTGCATGGCCATCTGTCGGGAGGGATCAGAGGGTGCCCCTCCTACATGGAAAGGGTGGGGTTGGATAGCCTTTGGGGTCCCTTCCCATTATTATTATTATTATTATTATTATTTTGTAAGGGCTGCATGGGCATCTGTCGGAAGGGATCAAAGGGTGCCCCTCCTACATAGAAAGGGTGGGGCTGGATAGCCTTTGGGGGTCCCTTCCCATTATTATTATTATTATTATTATTATTATTATTATTATTATTATTTTGTAAGGGCTGCATGGGCATCTGTCGGAAGGGATCAAAAGGTGCCCTTCCTGCATTAGAAGGGTGGGGCTGGATGGCCTTTGGGGGTCCCTTCCAACTCTAGGATCTGAGATATATCTATATCTATATATCTATATCTCTGTCAGTTATATCCATGGCTGCCTGGCCATCTGTCCAGAGAGATTGCATGGTGCCTAACTTCACAGAATAATGGAGTTGAACTGGATGGCCTTTGGATGTCCCTTTCAATTCTTCCTCTTCTTCTTCTTCTTCTTCTTCTTATTATTATTATTATTATTATTATTGAGGGATCAGAGAGTATCTTCCTGCATGAAAAGGTTTAGACTGGATGGCCTTTTGGGTTCCCTTCCAATTATTTTTATTATGTAAGGGCTGGGTGGCCATCTGTCAGGAAGGATCCTGCATGGAAAGGGTGGGCTGGGTGGCCTTTGGGGGTCCCCATTATTATAATTACTATTACTATTATTATTATTATTATTATTATTATTATTATGTAAGAGTTAGGTGGGCATCTGTTTGGAGGAATTGGATGGTGCCCTTCTTGCATGGAAAGGGTGCGGCTCTGATTATTATTATTATTATTATTATTATTATTATTATTATTTAAGGACTGCATGGCCATCTGTTGGGAGAGATCGGAGGGTGCCCTTCCTGCATGGAAAGGGGCTGGATATCTTTTGGGGGCCCCTTCCCATTATTATTATTATTATTATTATTATTATTATTATTATTATTATTATTATGCAGATGGGTGGCCATCTGTTGGGAGTGATTAGATTAATGATGCCCTTCCTGTATGAAAATGGTGGGACCARCTTTTGGGAGGGCTTTGATTGTGTCCTCCAGCTGGCAAATATCTATCTTGCTCTATCTATCTYTCTYTCTGTRTYTCTYTCTYTCTGTCTGTCTYTCTGTATKCACATCATTCATATCTATGGCTGGATGGCCATCTGTTGGAGGAGATCGGATGGTGTCCTCCAGCCTGGCAGATATCTATCTTGCTATCRASGTYTCTGTCTGTCTGTCTGTATCCACATCATTCATATCTATGGCTGGATGGCCATCTATTGGAGGAGATCGGATGGTGTCCTCCAGCCTGGCAGATATCTATCTTGCTATCTACATATCTGTCTGTCTGTCTGTATCCACATCATTCATATCTATGGCTGGATGGCCATCTGTTGGAGGAGATCGGATGGTGTCCTCCAGCCTGGCAGATATCTATCTTGCTATCCAGGTYTCTGTCTGTCTGTCTGTCTGTCTGTCTGTCTYTCTYTCTYTCTYTCTYTCTATCTATCTATCTATCTATCTATCTATCTYTRTATCTGTTTATCTATCTATCTATCTGTCTGTCTGTCTATCTGTATCCACATCAGTCATATCTATGGCTGGATGGCCATCTGTTGGAGGAGGACAGCCTGGCAGATATCTATCTTGCTATCTACGTATCTGTCTGTCTGTCTGCCTATCTATCTATCTATCTATCTATCTATCTATCTATCTATCTATCTCTACCAGTCATATCTATGGCTGGATGGCCATCTGTCGGGAGGGCTCCCATGGTGTCCTCCGGCCTAGAAAAAGGGGATTGGACTGCAGGGCCTTTGAAAGCCTCTCCTAGCTCTAGCATTTATTATTATTATTATTATTATTATTATTATTATTATTATTATTATTATTAAGCAGGGGCTGGATGGCCATCTTTTGGGAGGGATTGGATGGTGTGTTCCACCATTGGCAAAACGGGCTTTTTGTTGTTGTTGGGACTCGTTAAGGTTTCCCTTGGGGCAAGATCCCCTTCTTGGCCTTCCTCTGAGGCTGAGAGAGTGTGACTTGAGCCCATTGGTCAGCGGGGCGCTCCCCTCTTTGGCTACCTTTCCCCCTAAGGAGCCTTTGCATATGTGCCCCGCCTGGCAGGGCTGTTGTGAAGGGGTCATTGGCTTCCCTTGCACGCAGACCACAGTGGCGCCCAGGGGCAGCTCCTCTTCCGCCTGTCCCGTGAGGCCAAGCAGGAACGGATCTTGACCGCCGAGCTTCACCTCTTCAAGCTCCGTCCACAGACCCTGGACGGGCCTCGGAGGCAGCACTTCTGCCAGGTCAGTGAACATCAGTATTATGCTCAGAGGCACTGTTATCACTTTCTGGAGGGATTCAGTGGTGCCCTCATTTTTGGGGTCAGGCTGGATAGCCTTTGGGGACCCCACCTCTTCTATTATTATATGCTTGCATTTAGGTGTATTTTCATTACGTTGTGCCTTGCCTTGAGTCAAAAGGAGAAGCGGGTAATCAATACATTATTATTATTATTATTATTATTATTATTATTATTATTATTATTGACACAAAAGCACAGTATGTCACAGCAAACGAGATCTATTTCGTATCACAAAATCACAAGTCAAACACTTCCCAAGCATCTAGGACTGTGATTATTATTATTATTATTATTATTATTATTATTATTATTATTATTATTATTAGAAATACAACAAGATGGGTACACAGCAGACAACATCACTATGCTGGCTGTTGTATTGGATCACACGTCGGACATTTCCAAGTGTGATGTATTGGCGAATAATGCGTGCAGATCTCAGTAAGGCGGCCTTCTGCAGCTGGCAGATGGTAATTTTATCAGCGCCGATTGTGCTTAAGTGCAGGCCAAGGTCTTTAGGCACTGTACCCAGTGTGCTGATCATCACTGGGACCACCTTTACTGGCTTGTGCCAGGGTCTTTGCAGTTCAATTTATTATTATTATTATTATTATTATTATTATTATTAGAAATACAACAAGATGAGTCCACAGCAGACAAGATCACTCTGCTGGCTGTTGTATTGGATCACATGTCGGACACTTCCCAAGTGTGATGTATCGGCGAATAATGCGTGCAGATCCCAGTAAGGTGGCCTTCTGCAGCTGGCAGATGGTAGTTTTGTCAGCGCCGATTGTGCTTAAGTGCAGGCCAAGGTCTTTAGGCACTGCACCCAGTGAGCCGATCACCACTGGAACCACCTTGACTGGCTTGTGCCAGGGTCTTTGCAGTTCATTTTATTATTATTATTATTATTATTATTATTATTATTATAAACACAACAAGATGAGTCCACAGCAGACAAGATCACTCTGCTGGCTGTTGTATTGGATCACACGTCGGACACTTCCCAAGTGTGATGTATCGCGAATAATGCGTGCAGATCCCAGTAAGGTGGCCTTCTGCAGCTGGCAGATGGTAATCTTGTCAGCACCAATTGTGTTTAAGTGCAGGCCAAGGTCTTGAGGCACTGCACCCAGTGTGCCGATCACCACTGGGACCACCTTTACTGGCTTGTGCCAGAGTCTTTGCAGTTCGATCTTTATTATTATTATTATTATTATTATTATTATTATTATTATTATTATTATTATAAATACAACAAGATGAGTCCACAGCAGACAAGATCACTCTGCTGGCTGTTGTATTGGATCACATGTCGGACACTTCCCAAGTGTGATGTATCGGCGAATAATGCGTGCAGATCCCAGTAAGGTGGTCTTCTGCAGCTGGCAGATGGTAGTTTTGTCAGCGCCGATTGTGTTTAAGTGCAGGCCAAGGTCTTTAGGCACTGCACCCAGTGTGCTGATCACCACTGGGACCACCTTTACTGGCTTGTGCCAGAGTCTTTGCAGTTCGATCTTTATTATTATTATTATTATTATTATTATTATTATTATTATTATTATTATAAATACAACAAGATGAGTCCACAGCAGACAAGATCACTCTGCTGGCTGTTGTATTGGATCACATGTCGGACACTTCCCAAGTGTGATGTATCGGCGAATAATGCGTGCAGATCCCAGTAAGGTGGTCTTCTGCAGCTGGCAGATGGTAGTTTTGTCAGCGCCGATTGTGCTTAAGTGCAGGCCAAGGTCTTTAGGCACTGCACCCAGTGAGCCGATCACCACTGGAACCACCTTGACTGGCTTGTGCCAGGGTCTTTGCAGTTCATTTTATTATTATTATTATTATTATTATTATTATTATTATTATTATTATTACAACTACTACTATTCCTATGATTATTGCAGGTGAGTGTGTACCAGGTGCTGGACCTGGCGGGCACGGGCTCCCCTTCTGGGAAGAAGCTGCTCTACTCCCGCCTCCTCTCCTTACTGGGATCCGGATGGGAGGTCTTCTCCGTGACTCAAGCGGTGAGTGAATGGCCCTCTTTCTCGGGGGGGCCATCTCGCGGGCGTGCTCGCTGGCTCCATCTCCTCCTCTTGCCGTGGGACTTCCTAACCTTTGGAGCGGTTTTCTTTGTCTCGTAGGTGCATGACTTGGCGTCGGAGGAGGACAACGGCCTGGGCCTGGTGGTGACCGTGGGCGGGCTGCCAGACCTTGGCTCTGATCTTGGCCTTGACCCCGCCGTCCGTTTTGCTTCCGGGCGAGACCACCACTCCAGCAGGAAGCCCATGTTGGTCCTCTTCGCCCAGGACGACAGCCCCGCCGCCCCGCTCCCCAGCAGGGTCTCCAGGGGTGAGTGGTCAGCATAGGGGTCAAGGGGTCAGGCCCATTCAGTGCAGGACTGTTCCCTTCCAGCCCAACCTCTGAGCATGCCCAGAGTCCATTGATCCATTCCATATATGACTACTGTATTCCAGCAATCATCTGAGCATGCCCAGAGCACATTGACCCATTCTGTATATGGCAATCCAGGCCCTGCAATGCCTCTGAGCATGTCCAGAGCACATTAACCCTATTTATTCCAGTAATCTTCTGAGCATGTCCATTTCATGTAATAATATCCAGACTCTTCCCTCCCTGCAATGCCTCTGAGCATATCCAGAGTGCAAGGACCCATTCAGTGCATGACTATTCCCTTCTAGCCATATCTCTCATCATGCCCAG